AAAATTAAAAAAAAAAAAAACAACCTTGAATGCTGCCAGGGACAGTGGTGATACACCTATGACATCAACTCTCTGGGAGGCTGAGGCTGGAGGATGGTCATTTCAAGGCCAGCCTAGACAATTCAGCAACTGTATCTAAATAAAAAAGAAAAAAGGCTCGGACTGTAGCTCAGTACAGAGTCCCAAGGGCTGGCCAAATAGCTCAGCGGATTAAAGCGCCTGCAAGCAGGCGCAGGGGCCAGGGATTCATCCCCAGGCCTGCCATGCTGCCTCCCCTCCCCCACACTGAGACAGCAATTGAGACTGCGTGTGGTGGTGTGCACCTGTAATCCCAGCTCTTGGGAGGATGTAAACAGATGGTTCACTATGAGTCCGATCTAGTAGTGAGAGCCTGAACACGCTGTAGACCCTTCCCTAAAATACAAAAACCCCACAAAATCCCTGAGTTTAATCCCAGGGGGGAGAGGGGGATAGGGGATGGGACGGGACCTGTAAATGCTGTCATTTTGTGATGGATAAGAGCTCTCATTTATGGCGTACATACTTGCAAACTTCATTTTTTTTTTTTTTTTGCAACACACACTTATTAGAAAAGCAAAACATGGGGCTGAGATAGCTCAGTGGACTACAGCACTTGCTTAGGCAAGCTTAGGCAAGCACAGGGACTGCAGTTTGATCTCCAATCCCCAGCACCACATGCTGGGCTAGCCCTGCCCCGAGGGTGGGCTGAGCTGGCCAGAGTCCAGGTGCAGTGGCCACACCTGCAATCCCAGAGCTGGGGAGGCTGAAAGCAGGAGGATCACCACGAGTCTGAGCTGCCTAGTGAGACCCTGCAACAATTAAATTATATTAAGAAAAAAGAAAAGCAAAACAGAAACTACTATACTCTGCCCCAGACAACTATTAAAATAATCAAGGATGCTAAATGTCTGAATTGGGGACTCCCTGAGAAAAATGAACCCATTTATTACTTTTCTATCCGTAACATAAAATTTCAGTATACTTATTAGCAATCAGAACAAATACAAGCGGCTGGGGAGATGGCTCAGTAGAATAAGTGCTTCCCTGGCAAGCGCAAGGGTCTAAGTTCAATTCCCAGTTCCAGAAAAAAAAAAAAAAAAAAAAAAAAAAAAAAAAAAAAAAAGAACAAATACAGAGAAACATTATTTATTCTTTTCATTTATTTAGTTTTGTACTGGGAATAGAATACTTTTATTTAGTTTGCAGTGATGATTGAGCCCAGGGTCTCCTACATACCAGGCAAGCACTATACCACTGAGCCACATCTTAGCCCATTAATTTTTTTTTTTTTTTGGGCAGAACCGGGGATTGAACTCAGGCCCTGGCACTTGCCAGGGAAGCGCTTATTCTACTGAGCCATCTCCCTGGCACCAACCCATTAAATTTAAAATTCAAGATACAGACATAGCCTTATGAGTCCTACAGGATGTACTGTTAAACAATTTTAACCATGACACTGCTTAGTAAAGCAAAGCAGTATAAAACTGATAACTTCGGGGCCGGGGAGATGGCTCAGTAGGATAAGCGCTTGACTGGCAAACGCAAGGATCTGAGTTCAATCCCCGGTTCCGCCAAAAAAAACAAAAACAGAAACAAAAACAAAAACAAAAAACTGATAACTTCATAAAACTAGAAAATAAAACTCACCTTTGCATCGATTTCTTCTGCTTTCTCATTGGCTTCTTGTTCAATGAAAGCCATCATGTGCTTAATCTGTAAGAAAAATAGTAATTTTGAATCAAGAAGGGAAGAAAACATAATATCTATCTTTTCTGGTTTATTTAACAATTACTATTTAAATGGATATTATATGCCATTCATTCAATACAGGGATAAATGAGATAGTTTCTGCCCTCAGGAAAACTTACAATTAGGAATTTTTTCCAGCAAATGGGCAAGATGCCTTTTTTTTTGGGGGGGGGGGTACTTGGGATTGAACTCAGGACCTTGTGCTTACCAGGCAGACACGGCACTATAGAGCTACATCACAACCTAAAGATGCTGCACAGATGAACAGCACCGTCCAGCTGTCTAGACACCAGCCTCTCTGACAGGAATGCTACACACCTTCTTCACTTCAGACTCCTTCAGCCATCACCTGCAGAGCCAGCATGGTGGCACACGCCTGTAATCTCAGCTCTGCGAGGCTGACGCAACAGGACATCATGGTCAGGCCCCTCCTGGGTAACTTGGTGAGATCTTGTCTCAAAATAAAACTTTGAGAAGGTCCAGGGTTGTACCTCTGTGCAGAAAATCTTGGGTTCAATCAGTACAGGGGAGGGAACCTCTATTTTCTCTGTCAACTCTCTCCATATACCTCCATCTGACCCCCCCCCATAGTGACCCCAAGGTGACCCTAATCTCATCCCTAAACCTGGCCAGTGTCTCACTTGATGTGATAACCAGCTTGCCTTCTTGAATGACATTTGCCCTTGGCTTCTGAGACTTCCTCTCCTCTTCCTCTTCCTCTTCCTCTTCTTCTTCCTCTTCCTCCTCCTCCTCCCCC